ATGTGATGGAGTTTATATATTTGTTGTGTAAGATTTCCTGTTCCATTTACGTTGTCATTATATATAAATGTAGAGTTTAAACTAATATTTCCTGTTCTTTCAGGGAAGAATGAATTCAAGTTTAAAGGTGTTGCGTCAATTGTAACTTAGTATACTGTAACATAATCTTTGTGAATAGAGATTGTGCTAATTGCCTGACTTGATATATCTGTTGGGATATTAATAAATGATTCATGAGATTATTCAGGGTCCCAAACATAATCTGATTGTTTTGCTAATACGGTTTCATCATTTGTATTTTGTGGTCCAAAGTTTTTTTCTTGCTTGTGCAACAAGATCAATATTGTGACTAAAATAATACATTATGAACCATGCTAAGATATTTTGTAGATCGTGTTTAACATGTTGTTTTACAAAATTATTTGTTAGATTTTCTCGGACTGCATTGTCGAGATGTTTGAGTTGGTGAATCGTTTTGAGGTTCTTCCAAGTCTAATATCGATAAATAGCTATAGATAAGTGAGAATACATCATTTGTAATTATTGAGTTTGCTCTCTGTGAGTTTTTCTGTCGTATGCTTTTGATGTATTGTGTAAAAATTTTTGAAATTTCAATATCTATGTCATCAGTTTGAATGAGATATTTGTCATGAAATGTATTTGGTGATTTGATTTCCATTGTGTAGATTCCATGTTGTGATATGAGACTACATATACCTTTGAGTTACGTGTCAAGGTTTTTTCTTCGATTTTTACATCGGGAAATTCTCTTGTGCATGGACTGTCTCCTTTTTCGAATAAACTTGCAATTAAATTTTTTAAAAAATTTAACTTGTCCTCGAGGTTCGGTTAATGGGTTTATTAAAAATGGGAGTACTGAGTTCTCTAGGTTATCTTCACTTCGAATCATTTTTGTGTTGTATGACTGTTAGCGTATATTTTTCAATATGTCTTATTGGTTGATTCCATTTGTACAGACGTATTGCTTGTTTGTGTAACGTTTTTTTTATTTTACATTTGCTTTTTATTGATGCTTGTGATGTGGTTTCTGAGTCAGAAAAAAAGATTTGTTCGTCAATTTGATGGGTTTTAACTATCGATTCCTTTAAATTGTGGAGTTCTTGTATTGCGGCTGTTTCTGATTCTGAGCCTGCTTTTCGTCTTTTCGAAAATCGTTTCCTAATAAATTGTTTTTGTTTGTTAAAAATTTTCTTACTTAGTGTTTGTCTTTTTGTTCTTATGTATCCTACTGATTGTCTGTGTGGTGTGATTACGAGGTCGTATTTTTCGTTGTCAATGAAACAATTGTGTAACATGATTGATTGTTTGTTTACTAAATTATTTTTGACATAAGGTTTTGGATGATGGGTGCAAGATTTGGATTAGAATTTCTATTGTCTCAAACTGTTAGTGCTTACAATTTTCTGAGGTTAGCTTAACTTGGGTCGTGTAGTTGGGTTGGAGAGAAAGCGTATATCGATTCCTGGGAATGATTTTCACTTTCTCGTGAATAATTCTAAGTTATGATAGAGTTACCTTATCTTACTTGCGGGTTGTGACTTGTGAGCAAGGGTTGGAGATCAGTAAGCCAATCCACAAGGTTCAGGTATAATTCGAACGCAAGTTAATTGTTGAATACTCTTTTATGACCTACTAAGTGTAAGTGTTTTAGCCTGGGTCATCTAAGAGGAGGGGCTCAAGTAAAGGACGAGTAACCGAAGTTCTTCACTGTTTATCCTAATTAAAATGGTTAGTTTTTTTGAAAAATTGCTGTTAAATCTGGGTCTTTGATAAGGGTTGTGTAGTGAATCGACGTTTGAGGTCATTAGACACTAATTAAAAGGAGAGGGGGAAATCAAAATTGTTCTATATGACCCAAGGATAGGCCTTGATGATCAGAAATTTAAATATTCAGAAATTTTAAAGAGGATAATTAATTTAAAGATCCAAGGAAAGCCTGGATGAACTGTTATTTTAAACGTACTATTATGAAATCGATTATTAGATTTCTTCCTAGCCGTAAGTCGTATCTTGTACGACGTCTTCTTCCAATACCGGGTAGTTCTCGTATCGTTCGAAATATTGGATCTGATTTATTGAAACGTTGAGAAATATCTTTTCAATTTTTATCATATTACAGTTTTATGAAGTATTGTATTTGTCTAAATCTATTCCAATTTTTGTCTAATTCTAGGTTAGTTAAGGTCTGTTCGAGACTTTTTGGTCGCACCAGATGAGTTATGTATCTTGTATTATACTCAAAGAGTAATTTCAGATAGATCACATTGTCTGCTCGTCACGTACATCTTATTTTCGGCAGGATAGATTCTCGCAACTTCTTAGTCTAATACCGATCTTAATCTTACTCTTATATCTCCTGGTCTCAATAGATCTAGTGTACACCGGCTTACGCGAGTTGGTTCCAGAATGAAAACAACTGTAATCTAAGTTTAATTCAAATTGTTTTGGTGTTGAAACTACAAGTAGTTTCAACACTTACAAATAAATAGGTTTGATTGGTTACTATTTAATATTTTATAGAGATAAAATATCACAATAATAACCAATGACAAATACGCAAGTAGTTTGTTAGATACTATTTTATGAACTACTAAGTTTAAGGGTTTTAGCCAGTGTCATCTAAGAGGAGGGGCTCAAGTGAAGGATGAGTAACCGAAGTTCTTCACTGTTTATCCTAATTAAATTGGTTAGTTTTTTTTGAAAAATTGCTGTTAAATCTGGGTCTTTCATAAGGGTTGTGTAGTGAATCGACGCTTGAGGTCATTAGACACTAATTAAAAGGAGAAGGGGAAATCAAAATTGTTCTATATGACCCAAGGATAGGCCTTGATGATCAGAAATTTTATTATTCAGAACTTTTAAAGAGGATACTTAATTTAAAGATCCAAAGAAAGCCTGGATGAACTGTTATTTTAAACGTACTATCATGAAATCGATTATTAGATTTCTTCCTAGTCGTAAGTAGTTTCTTGTACGACGTCTTCTTCCAATACCGGGTAGTTCTCGTATTGTTCGAAATATTGGATCTGATCTATTGAAAAGTAGAGACATATCTATTAAGTTCTTATCATATAACAGTTTTATGAAATCTTGTATTTGTCTAATTTTAATCTAATTTTTGTCTAATTCTAGGTTAGTTAAGGTCTGTTTGAGACTTTTTGGTCGCACCAGATGAGTTATATATTTTGTATTATACTCATAGAGTAATTTCAGATAGGGTACACCGCCTACTCGTCACGTACATCTTATTTTCGGCCGGATAGATTCGTGCAACTTCTTAGTCTAATACCGATTTTAATATTACTCTTATATCTCATAGTCTCAATAGATCTAGTGTACACCGGCTTACGCGAGTTGGTTCCAGATTGGGAACAACTGTAATCTAAGCTTAATTCAAATTGTTCTGGTGTTGAAACTACAAGTAGTTTCAACACTTACAAATAAATAGGTTTGATTGGTTAGTGTTTAATATTTCATAGAGATAAAATATCGCAGTAATAACCAATGATAAACACAAGTTTAGATCTGGTTCCACTATGAAAAAAAAACTAGTCATACATCTTTCATTCATTTTGCTAAAATGGTGTTATCGATTTTTCAAAGAAAATTCATCTTGTTTTGGCAAAACAGTCGGTGTATCGTGCCAAATATTTAAAAAAATTACTTTGAAAATGCGCCAAGAACTTCATTTGCTTTTGTATGACATGTTTATGAGTGCTCTGGTCAATGTCTGATATTTTGAAAATTCAAATTTAAAAAATAATTATCGTTGAAATTTTTTGCCAAATTCCAAAAATTTGCTACTTTCGTTATATATTTCTTACGACAGCTGTGAGACAATTCAGCTTGTTTTCTATGCATTGTAAACGCAAGACTGTCTAACCTTTCGAGACTCCAGATTTCAATAAACTAAGGTCTTCGTCAGTTGCGCTGGTTACGAACACAACCCAAAGTTTTCAGAAAAAATTTTAGAAAAAAAATGAAATAAAATTTTTTGGTTTATGGAGAAATTCTTGTCATACAATTGTCATGTATGGAAAAAGGCTTATCATAGAGATACAATTCTCTATACAATTATCTGTACGTTTGGAATTGTAAAGATATGTATGGTAAGACTTTTTTCATTTATGTAAACTGTAAGGTAAGAAGTTTTGGTCAAACCGGGTCACTTAAAACGAAATTGTTTTAGAAAAAGCCCTGCTGGTTTGGATTTTTTTTCAACGACAATTTTCTCAACACAACTTTGCATAAAAAGCATGAACAAAATCTTTTTTGGCAAAAACCTTTATTTTAAAGATATAATGTAAATAAAGCAAGAAGTTACTATAACCGAATGATGGTTTTAACTTTCAAATAGGAACAATTGAAGAAATATAATATACCTCGAAACTTCCGGTCAATACATCAAATTAAACTAGATTTTTTATACATACTCGCCCTCTATCGTAAGAAACAAAGCTGAAGTAATACTGAGTATAATCTTTATTTGTAAAATTGAAAAACACATTTCAAGAAGTTTGGTTGAAAATCCATGACAACAGATCAGCGCAAGTGCAATAGATACTCTGTTGTGTTTCCGAAATAATTGATAAAAATTTTGAATGCTAGATGGTTTTTTCTTCAAAAAAACTTCGGCTTTTTGGCAAGTCATTTAGGGCTAAATTTTGACGTTTATCTCAGATATATTGATGTCCAACGCTGTTAGCAAAAAGATTTGGAACTTAAAAAATTGGTCCATTTAAAATAATGAAGAAATAGAAGTTTGCTAGATGTTCCAACTACTGCGTAACTGTATGCCAAAACTATCACTTGATTTTTTTCTAAATAGCGCCTGCGGCATTGAACTTAAAAACTTCATTAATCTTTCAAAATCGGATAAAAAATTCAAAAATTGAATCATCAGGAATCAATTGTTATTATACACTTAGCTTGTAAACACTTGTAAATTTTTGAAACAAAACTGCTGATAAGAAGCTTACAGAGCTGCTAGGGCGATATCATGAAGGAAGTTTATTAGAACCCATATGATATCGAACCAGAGTACGTTGTATTCAGTATCGTACGGAGGAAGGCTGTGACTTAGAGTGCTTCTAAAACAAAACAAAAAAGATTTAAGGATATTCAGTCGGCAGAAATCAGATGTTCAATTGGCCAGGTAGTTCGATAAAGGAAAATTTTCATGAAAATTCCAGAAGTTACAGCGAAGAAACAAAAGATCAGGTTTAAATAGAAACAATACTGCTCGTATATCAGAGCAAATCCCTGAATTTTCCGACTACTCAATTATTGATATCGAATAGTTTCTGGGAAAATTTATAAATTTTGGATAATATCAAAGTGTGAAATGCTGAGCCGTACGAAATTAATACTACCAATCCGATTAGCTAGCCTCAATTCAATTCGGAATGGTTTGTTGTGCGGGATAATTCGCCAAGCATTAATAGTTCGCGTTACGCTCTTAGCAATATCAATAAATTTTTCAGAGCGCGCATAATTTTGTCCAGAACATTGTCAACTTGGCCATTTGCCTATTTTCAAACCCCCTGAACTTTACAAAAACAATCGGAGTATTTTTATTTTTTAAAGTTTGAACTCAGGAAGTTGATTACTTCAATGAGGTATAAAAAAATGTTTGTTGAAAACTATTTTTTCGGTTGGACAAAAATGACAGAATAAAAAACCACACCGAGCATAAATATTCCCTTTTCTTCGAAAGTCGGAAAAACTATGACTCACATTGCCCAAAGATTTGTATCTCCACAGAAATTTTCACCCTCCTTTTGAATGCAATATGTCAGGAAACCAGCTTCTATTTTGTCAAAATTAAACTCGTCGAGAAGAGTCGTGTCGAGATGCCATAAAGAATAACGTCCTTTGTCCATGGCAGCCGAGAGAATTCCAATTAACGAAATTTGAAAGAAAACTGTAATTAAAAAGAAAAACAAGCGAAATAAAAGAAAAGTATTTATCATTGCTGACAATAAAGTTAAAATGGCTCGGGATGAAAATGATTGTTTCACTGCCTTAAGTACAAGACTTTGTCAACATACGCTAAATTTAACTAAATTCAGATCATGGGATCAAACCACTTACAAAAACACCTAATATGCAGCCAAGAAGCTGACCTTAATTATTTTTTCAAAAGATGACAACGATTATTGACAGATTTTTTTTTGCCATAATACTTATTTACAAAAATTTCTGCTTAAATAAATTCGAGAAGAAGTGAAAAGATCTTGTTTTCACCATTCTTGTGAAATTTTCTCTAGCCATTCTCGCACGTTAAAAACAGAGCAATTAGTATTGATGGCGTCTTTAGATATTTTTTATGGTTGTATATATATTTGGGGTGAAAAAAATCCACTAAGCCCCCACCTCTTGTCTGCACCTGGAACAATTTTTCATTAATCCGATTAAGAATTATTTCGTTACCAACTGAAGACCCAGAGAAGCTTGGGTTCCCTAGAAATTTGGTTTGGTTTTTTTTGCGTCAGTAGCCCCTGATCCTAGTACGATGAGGAATATTTCGCCACTACATCTGGGTTACTATATGAATTGGTGTTTGTGTGTTTGTGGGGACGTGGCGCACCGAGCGCCAATTGATCATAATCGATTATATTGTCATAATATAGTCAGTCTCTATAAAATGACAAAAAAATCGATTATAATCCATTAAAAATGGATTATAATCCTAATATTTTTCATGCCATTAAAATCGATTATAATAAAAATTAATAGATTTTAATGAATTTTTTCCAGGGGTTATTCATGAAATTTACAATTTTCTTCTAAGTTATCTGATCCCAATTTATCCCCTACCAATTTTCTCCCAATTTACCACTTTTTTACCCACCCCCTCCCAATTTAACTCCATATATTACACCCCCCAGTTTATCCACCCCCCAGTTTATCCATCCCCCCAGTTTATCCCTCTCTCCCAAATTATCCTCCGTTTATCCACCTATCCCCTCTGTTTACCCTCCAGCCCCACCCTCCCCCCATTTCCAGTTTTTCCCCTATTTCAATACTCTGATTCCATTTTTGCAGTTTCTGTAGTGGCGGTAAGGTCGCCCACCACACGTGCTTAGTAATTTCACACGGTGCTATACCTAATTTCACCAGTCTGCATATCGGCTTACGAATCACACCTATCTCTTTTCTTACGTTAGGTTAACAAACTCGAACTCTATTCGTTTTTGTCCTAGACATTTTCTGTGTATAAAATTAATTCACCTTTTCGGACATTATAAAAATCTAACTTCAGGCGTACATTACTTATACTTAATTCAAACTTCTCATTCAAACCCCCCGGCTTACTCCCTTATTGGGACTTCTGGTTTGGACAATTCAGTCATGCTTCAGAAATAAAGGACAGTTTGAATGCTTCCCATATTCTTGCTGAACCTAGTGCGGGGTGCACGATGGACCGTCACCAAGGCCAGAGACAAAACCGGACCCAGAAACACAGCCAGAGTCAGATAATGGCCTCCGTACAGACGCAGCTGCTATCAAGCGGGTCGAGGAAGCGAACTTAGAACGGCGGAAGAAGGGGCCCCGAATCGGAATGAACTGGTTTTTCACGAAGCTGAGGCAAGAGCACGTTCCAGATTATTTTTTGCTCTTGGAAATGAGGGTAGAAAAAAATGGTACAAGCATTCCCACGTTTCCATCTTAATCTGTTATCGTGCGTACGCCTTCAAAGTGGAATTAAATTCACCATAGTACGCATCAGACTCTACAATTCTTGGTAATTGGAGGCTAACGAATCCTTGTTGTCCTTCCATTCGAGGTTGTCGGCCCACGGCCCAGGCAGCATGTTGTAACTGATGTGCAGAGTACATTGATTCGGAAAAATTATGGCCATGACGGAAATCTAAAACTGGCGCATCTAGAAATCTAGAACGGAGCATCTGCGTCCATGGAGTTTCAGAATATCCTGCCTCATATTAAGAACAATTCACCATTTAGTCTACCAAAAATTAATTAAGAACCAACGTTTTCGGTTCAATCATGGCGGGGTGGTGAACAAACCTCATTCCGCAAACAGAACACCCAAGACAGAAAGAATCAAAAGCAATCAAAGATACTTCTTTGGCAACACATTTTCCGCCAATCATCGGAAAAACTGCCCAGCGTGACACGTGGAGTGCCGGTCGTGCAAGAAGAGAGGGCACTTCGCACAAATGTGTAATTCTACTAAGCACTGCGTTAACCAAGTGGAGGAGGAAGATTCCCATGTGAGTCTTGAACAGAGGTTGATCATATTGTGATTGAGCAGGATGCAGACAGCGAACTTGAGTATCGTATTCGCAGCATTCAGCCACGAAATAAACGTTCCATAGTACAAATTTGCCGCCTCGAATTACTGAAACCTAACCGAGGTACGCCTCGTAATATAAATGTTATGCTACGCTCGGAGCAAAATCATTTTATGCCACTAGACACAGGCAGCCCTGGGTGTTTCTTGAATAAACAGACAGCGGATATTTTACTCCGTCATAATCCTCAATTCGTTGATGTACAAAATTTGCCAAATGAGTTCTCTTATGAAGATTATAACACGGACTCAATTAAAGTTTTTGGCAGTCTGTCCATCCCAATATCGTCCGGTGGGTGGAGAAAATTCATAACGCCATTTTCCTGGTGTCGGAGATTAGAACTCGTTCTTTACTGGGAATGGAATTGCAACGCTCACTCGGCATACACGCAATTCAACGAAGTTTGTTCACTAGAATCGGAAGATCTAAATCTCACCAAGTCCGTACCAATTTGATGGACCCACTAATCCCAAGGCAGATTAAAGGTCGGAAGATGCCCATCCATATTCAGGTGCTCATCCATCGAGAAGATGCTCAGGCATCGAGTGTCAGAGGAATTAAAGGCGCTGTTTAGAAATGTTCACATTACTATGTTCAACAAATGTACCACGGGCCACTTCTTTAACCCGATAGATATTACTGCAAAAAAATGGCTCGAGTAAGTTCGCTATGAACGATAAATCTCTTAATGCGCAAATCTGGAAAAATAAGTACACAATGCCAAACATTCCAGAACTGAACGACTGGGCCACCCAGATCATTACCAGTGATGTCCCTGTCTCGGTGTGTTTGCCTCACTTGACCTAAAATATGCGTTTAGTCAGATCAGGCTCTCAGAGCCGACGAGTTTTCATTATAATTTCAAAATAATAGGAACACACCGATTCAAAACTGGGTTTTTCAGCTGAATGGATATGCTGTCCGAGTTTTAAAAGGCGATGGATTGTATGCTGCAAGGATTTCCGTGAACTTTTTGCTATGTAGATGTTTTTCTTGTGTTCTCAAAAATGGCACTGTCAAAACACAACGACATCGTCCATGAAATCCCATTGCTTAGATGAAGAAGGTTTAGCTTTGTGTATCTAAATGCGAGTTCGCGGTGGATAAGCTAGAATGGCTGGGACTCGATATCCATTCGTCGGGTTACTCCCCCAATTGTTCAAAGATTTGTTTAGTCAAAATTCTGGCCGCTCCCAGGACACTCAAGCAGCTTCGATCCTTCATGGGTACCCTAAGCCATTTCCAAAAGTTCAGAATCTTACGTTTGAGTTTTGCGAATCTTTAAGCTCTGTATTAAAAATAAGTTAACCTGGAAAGAGTCTCAAGAAGTCGCATTTGAGAAACTTTTAGGCCTGATTGTAGAAACCAGCAATTTGTTCTTGTACGACCCTGCCAAAAACACTCATGTAAAGTGTAATGCCACCCACAGTGGACTTGGAGCGCTTCTTGAACAAGAAACAGAGACAGGTTTGTGAGTTCATATTTCGTTCGTTTCGCGATTTCCCTACTCAGCAGAACTAAAATATAGTACGAATGAACTTGAACTATTAGCTCGGGTCTGGACATCTGATTATTTTCGCAAACATCTACTCGGCAATAATTTGAGATACTCACGGAACATTAAGCCAAAAATTTGGCCGTAAAAGAACACAAAGAACCCCGTTTAACATGTTGGGTGGATCGGTTATTGCCCTTCGACTATGAACTCAGGTATGTGCTCGGCGCTACTTTAAGTATGGCTGGTTATCTCTTCCTACATTCAAAGTCCTACATTCAAAGCAGCTCCCAGTTCAGTTTATGACCAATTAAGTGTCATAAATCCATTGAAAACTTCACTCAAGCGTGCAATTACATGTGGGTGGATGCTGCCACCATATCTTTCCGCCATATCTTTCCATCGAGTGTCGGTAGGGGGCGACCAAGTTGTGTCGCACTCTTAGGGGAAATTCGGCGGTTTCAAACCGGGAGAGGGCGTCAGCCTCTTCTAAGGAGATTTCATCCTTTTAGAGCGCAGATTGGTTTCACGTCATTTGCCACCACAAATGGGGTATATTTTCACGAGCAGTTTCAACCAATCACGTTTGAGTTCAAACTCAATTCATTCGCTGCACAGGCAAAAATTTGACGGGTCGCATAGCCATTTAGAAAAAAAACGCTTTTAAAACATCAATCCAGTAAAAGGCGGGCGATTGTGCCCATTCTGCTTTTAGCCAATCAAATTCAGGTATGCAAATTGCAATAAGTCAAGATCATTACCAGTCATTTTCAAATCAGTTTTGTCATATTGTTCACTCGAATTCAGCTGTCCAATCAAATTTCAATAATAGTTCTCCTCTAATTGAAGCAACCTTACCAGATAATACGTCAATCCGAGAGAACTTATTAGATTTTGAGGAGAATTTCATTATTTTTGAATTGACCCCAATGAACCCTGTACACACTCGCGCTCTCTTAGACTCAACCGGCTCCAATCTCTCAGAATTCTGGCTAGGAAGAAACTTCAGGGAACTCCCAAAACTCCAGTCCAATCAAACGCAATTTTTGTCGAAAATTGGTGGCAAAACGACTTTCTAATCGGGCACGTCGGCTACGCTCTAGAAAAGGAGTGTGTGCCATCGAAACAGAACGTTTGTCTCACAGGACTTGAAGGAGATTGTTGGTCTGTCCAGTCTGTTCGACGTCGGTTTACTCGCAAATTTAACGGACGAAGACGAGTTTCATGGACCGATGAAGCGACTAATCTTAGACAATGATGTCCAAAATTTCTCCAAACAAGGTCTTTACATCCTTAGCGTCGGCGGTGGACAATTGCATCCTATATGACAGCAAGCTGGCAGATCCGTCCATTTTGACGCAGTTAAACCGGTCTTATCTCAGACAACAGGTCGTGATCGAGGCGGCCGAGTAAATCTGGTGGCTCTACTTGAACAGGCAGATTGTCGATAAAAGCTAAATGTGCATGGCAAGCACGAAGTTTGGTACGAAACTTAAGTTGAATAAAACAGCCAATACTTTCCTCGCGCTTCCAACTCTCTCCTCGCCTAATGAAGAATTGCAATTAGACTTTGCGGGCCCGCTGCCGAGAAAGAGACGCGAAAGGGAAGAAAGTTTTTATCTTGGTAGCCGTAGATAGGTACTCAAATTTTCTGCCCGTTCTCCTAACTAGAAATACCGACTCCAAAATGATTGTTAAATTCCTAAAAGCATATATGTTTATGCACAGCATACTAAAATCTATTCGCACAGATCACGGCTCATGGTTTCAGAGCCCAGTGCCAAAGGATTTTGCAATGGCTTGGGATTGAACGTTTCTTCTGCCCAGTCGGAGATCATCGCGGCTGTGGGTTAGTGGAACGGAAAATTCAAACCATAAAACGTAAGCTGTGTACCAAAGCGTTTAGTCTACTTTACAATGATCTTAACAACATTTTTTTGTACAGTCTTTGAAGACCTTAGGAAATCCAAACGCCGGACTCTTAAAATTTTTTTTTGAGCTATATTAGGGCCGTAAGTCAAAAATGGAACTCTCTTTGCCATGAATACGATTCTTGAAAATATTTCAGATCAGAGTACCCTCGCACGGAGCCTCCTGAAACCGGAAGATCGACTCAGCCAGGACTAAAGCTGTGACAGATTGAAGGTGGTAAAACGTGGTTCTTTCAGCTCAGATGTGGCTCCCCGCTTCAAGAAGGCGGTACCCGGGTCAAAAGATAGCTGCATTACAAGGCCCTCAAAGATCTCGCTCTAGCCTCTTATCGTTAGAGTCAATTGAGGCGAAACATCATTGTGGAGACGGGGCGCAAAAAGATGCGAGAGCATGGGTCCCGAAACAATGAAATTGCCATTGCCCATAAGAATGGTCTCAGTAAGATTACCTAAGATCCTAAGACGGTGTTGCCGATGCTCCCGTATACACGGACACTGGAAAAGTATTTCGAAAAAATCAAATAGCTCTGAAATGCAACTTTTATACCCGTGAAGTTTTAGCTAAAAGAACAGCAGCCTCCAAATAAGGAGTCAAGGCCGGCCAGAGCTCGGTTCCGAGGAAAAACGCCCCAAAAGAATCAATTTCTATGCAGTTTCCGAGATTCCCTTTTTCTTTAGTGCCAGCACCTCAAAAACGAATAGTGGAACCACTTGTAGTTTTCTTATCCGATTCGGATACTCCAGACGCGGCCAAAAAGACAAAATTCACTCACCTAGGAGGTCTCCTAGGAATATGTCAACCTCTAGCCGGGCAGTGAGGATAAACTCAGCCTCTCCCCAGTCACCTGCGGCACAGGACTTAGTTCACACGCAATCAACTCCAGTGTACTCGTCTCTGCCTTTGGAACCGCCCAAGTTGGGCCTCGACATGTCGGAATATTCTGTTGCCACTCTGCCAGCGACCCAAAAACCCCTCACTTCCATACCGGTACACAATTACGGTAGTATCAGACATCCCAGCAGCCACTCCGGTTCCCACTTTAGTCACTTCAGGGGACGCGAAGTCGGATCTTGTTTCTTCAGGCAGTGCTACTAGTTCCGGCCACCAAAATCTGCGGCTCAGGATTACAAAGTCTTCCTCTTCTAATACCAGGGCTTCAGGACGGAACAGGAGGGCTCCGGCCAGATACGGAAGCCCTGTTCGCAATTCCGTCAAAGAAGTGGAAGAATCTGCTGCGTCTCCTCCTTTGCCCGCCCCAGATGTGGCCAACTCTCCAGTAACACCGAAGCGTCGTTACATTTGGAGGAACATCGAAAAGTTATCCAGTCAAGCCCGACGCCCAAAAAGTAGTCCCCGAGGGGAATCGTCTTCAAAAAATAAAATAGTGTCAACCATTATAAACTTTCTGCCTGAAACTCATTACAAATTTGTCAGTAGCTTTTGAGTCCTAAAATGTTAAGTTTTGTTTTCCTCAGCTTTATTTCTATTCCCACACAGGTGGTGTACTGTTGGTGTTATTGTGAAAATTTAATTACGTTGTAAGATTTTTGACATAGCCCAGGTATGTCATGCCACTTAAATACTATACTATACGCTGCATCCTTTGTTGCAGTTTCTGTAGTGGCGCCAAGGTCGCCCACCAGTCGGACTAAGTTATTTCACATGTCATTATATTTATACTAACCTGTCTTCATATCGGCCTACGAATCAGACAGATCCTCTTTTGTTACGTTAGACTACCAAACTCAAACTCTATTTGTTTTTTTTGGTCCTGAACACTTCATGTATATTAAGTTATTTCACCTTTTCGGACATTATAAAAATCTAACTTCTAAGTACGTAAATCAGGCGTACAAAATTTATACATAGATTCAGTATCTCATTTTACCGAGATTAATCAGTCTCAGAGTTCGGCAAATGTCAATTATAATCGAATATAATGGATTAAAATGGATAAATAGTTCAAAAACAGCCAATTATAATAGATTATCTTGGCAAAAACAATGGATTTCAGTGACAAACATAAGGGATTATAATCGTTTATAATGGATAATAATGGATTGATTTTTTTTCAAAATAATCGATAACAATGGCAATATAATCGATTTCGTTGTCTGAATTTTACATCTGTAATTGATTATAATGGATTATTTTTGTCTCGGGAACCCATGATAATCGATTAAAATCCATATGCGCTCGGTGCGAAGGTTGGAGAGTGGTAATAATAAAGGTCCACATTTTGTAACAAAAAAGTTCGCATTTAGGTGCTCTTAGAGTCTGAATTATAGCGATAAAGAATAAAAGTTAAGCTAAGCATCTGCTTTTGTTTTTTCCTAGAGCAGCTAAATGTTTACCAAGAAAAATGGTTAACCAGTAAGGGAAAAAATCGAGATGCGGCTGTGAATTAACCAAATTATAACGCAAAAAATGACAGAGCAGAATTTTTAAACTAATAAAAGTACAAGCAGTATTTTCAAAAAATTTACGCGGTGTATTTTCTGTTTGACTCTCTGTTAACTTTGTTCAAATTTGAGCGTAATGTATTTTAAATTTCCAAATCTATGTAGAAAGTTGTTTTGTGACTGAATTTGACTTAAGTTATGAAGAGTTGCCTAACTGAAGCACACATTAACTTATAACTAAAGTAACAAAATTATTTTGTCATTACTTGATCATTTTTCTATAACCACAAAAAACGCTGTAGATTGTAAATTATAAATTAAGCGTTCGCTAATAACTGTTGTTTGGTTAGTTGATCCAAACTACAACACAAAATTGGCCTGTCGCAAGTTGCAAGATCTATAAATAGTTAATTAAGCATAGCTTATAGATTTTAACAAACTCTCGGACGGACAAAACATTTTATTGCATTTTGTTTACATCTTCGACTACTTTCGGAGACCAAAAATTTTAAAAAAAAACTCAGCATAAAAAATTCGGCATCATTTTTGTATCACGTCCTTAAACCTCTACGTTTTCTGGTTTAGTACGTTTACTCAAGCCCACGTTTAGTGAAAACATCCAGCATTGTGTTACTACAATGATGTACTGTCCGAGCTCTGTACAATAGAGTCGTTCGATGATAAGCTGAATTTTGTTTTTTTGCTTAGTTTCTTGTACAAAATCCATTAATTACAACCAAAGTTGATTTTTATTTGTTATATGCTATATAAACATATTCAGATTTTTTTGACATTTTTTTTGAAAAGCGGGAAACGTTTTTATCACAGAGTTTTTCTATAAAAATGTTGTAAATTAGCGGAATTGTCCTACAAGTCTTCTAATAAAGTTCTAAGGTTTAACGATCTTGCATTGCACGCATCCAGTTTCAAGATTATATTAAGATTTTACGATTAGATACGACTATATACGATTATATATTACGATTATATTATGATTTTAGTACCAGTCTTACTAAAAATGAGAAACAATCGATTTTAATCAACTAATAATCGATTATAATCTCTCTTTTTGAAATCTAACTATGGTTAATTATAATCCATTATAATCGATTATAATCAACTTTTTTTTCGTCTGTTTTTCGATACAATTATAATCGATTATGATTTAAAATGATCAATTTTTTTTTCAGATTTCTATTTCATTAGTTTTGCACAAAAATCCATTATAATCGATTATAAATGATTATAATCTCTTTTCTTTGTCCAATTTTGTCTTCGGAGTTGCTTCTAGGTTGCGTATTTTTAATGCTTTTTGTAGACGTTGGTACCTATGAAAAATGAGACAAATTTTTTATAAGTTTTCCTAGTAATCAAATTTATACGTTTTTTTTTTTCATTTTATCCCCAATACAGTTGTTTTGTGATGCATATTTTGAGCTTTTTTGAACACCAAATTATCAGCAAGTTGATTTAGCTCTATGATTGATTCGGAAAATTTATTTTTCATCTACCGCGGGAACCTTTCCACTCACATGAAAGGATCTCCATGAAACTTTTGCTTCGTGGTAAAATTTTGTGTTCAGATGAACCAAAGTGTTCGAGAGATTTCTCTTTTAGAGATTTTCTTATTCACACAAAAATACTATCCCATAAGATATAATTCGAGTATAGGAAAATTTCGGCAAAATAAGAGATTATAATCGATTATAATCAATTATAATCGATTATAATTGATTTTAAGGGTTTTTAGTAAGGAGTTTAATCAATTATTATTGATTATAAGATTATAATCTCTTGGAAATTATCACGATTATAATCAATTATAAATCCCTTAAAGACCTAATTTTGGTAATTATAATCAATTATAATTGTCACAAAATCATCATTATAATCCGTTATAATCAATTACTTACGCCTAAACTTGGATGCGGGTGGAAACGATCTGAAAATAATTGTCCAAAAAATCTACACAGACAATATATTGAAAGTAGCGTTATATTATTTTTGCCCAAATTTTCACACATGCTAATTATTTTCGTTTAAATTTTTACTTGATCATGCATTGCCTAATCATCCCTTTAAAAATTCATAGAAAATGGTTACACAATTTTAGCAAAAAATAAAATTAAATGTGTTTGATCTGCATTTATTCTCAGACTGGTTGTATGGAATTGCATGACTGATTTTTCAGCCTATGTAGGCAAACCCGGTTAGAAAAATGTTTTAGATAACCCTTTTTGACACCGAAATTTTGATAACAAGAACTCAAAAAACAACATACGTTTCATTTGCCCTGATATTTCTTAAAGACGATTTTTAGCAATGTTGAACACTGATCAAAATTTTAATTGGCACTGTTGTACTTTGGCACTGTTGAATGATCCTTCAAGGGTGTTACCTCGGAATGACAAAAAAGCTAGTCATACAGTTTTCCTAATGCAATTAAGTAAAGAAAATTACAAGAAAGTCTATCATTGAAAGTTTTTCATTTGAAGGTTTTTCAAATGCTAGTCATCCAAATTTACTAATGCAATTAAATTAAGAAAATTGCAAGAAAATCTATCATTGAAAGTTTTTCATTAGCCAAATTTTCGATAAACCAAAAAATTTAAATTTAATTTTTTTTTTCAATTTTTATATGATGCGTTTGTAGCCGAGCTCAATCACCAAAGACCCTGGATTATTCATAACTAGAGAAACCAGAGGTTTGATGTACATTGCATTCGAAACGAAAAGAAAGAGGATGTTTTTGCTTTGCATGTACATTGCATTCGAAACGAAAAGAAAGAGGATGTTTTATACAAAAAAATAAAATTAAGACAATTTTTTTTATTTTATCAAAATTTCCCAAAAGTTTCAATTCAGAAATTGATTTTTTAGCTTATAAGGCATTGATCAAGGCACACATAAACGTATCAAAGACAAATTAAAAAAACTGTTTATTGAAATTAAAATTTTTTTATAGTTGTCATCGAAAAAAAAAGCCAGTAAAACAGGTTCAATAATTATTTGTCTTGCCGAATAAGTTTTCTCTTTCATTTATGACGATACACCAAAATTTTGCCCAGAAGAAAAGAAAAATTAATTTGAAATTCGATCACCCCATTCTTGCAAAAATGTATGAAAGTTGTATGATTAGCCTTTTTCACAACAAAAGTTATGGAATTGCATGGTTAGCATTTTTGGTCGATGTAGGTCAACCTGAAACAACAATCAGTGCCGAAGAACAACAGTGAGGAAATAAGCTTATGAAAAGTTTTAGAATTTTGGCACTGTCATATTTTAGCACTGCTGTACTTCCCCTTTCAAAAAATGAATTAAAAATTATCAAATTTGGCAAATTAGGATAAAAAAAGGGTATGATTGACATTGTTTCTCAGACTGAATGTATGGAAAGTCTTGATTGACATTTTCAGCCTATGGAGGCTAACCCGGTTGAAAAACGTTTCAAATAACTCTTTTTCACAAAAAGTTCGATTCCCATAGCTCAAAAACAACATAAACGTTCATCTGATTTAATGTTTCTTAAAAATGATTTCTGGCACTGTTGACCAATATGAGCATTCTGTTCGGAACTATTGTTCTTTGACACTGTTGATATTAAGGGAGGGTGGTTACCTCTGGGGTGGTACATAGTCATACAGTTTACATTTATGAAAAAAAAGTAATCAAAAATTTATTATGCATTAAAGGAAAGAAAATTCCAAGAAAATCTATAATTTTAAATTTTTTTCATTTGCTGAGCATTTTTCCATAAGCAAACAAAAAACATATAAATTAAAGTAGTATGCAAATAGTGCATTAGGTTCGCGGGGTTGTCATACAAGGATGGCCATTACGTATAGATCATAGTTGTCACCATGTGATATCTGACAATCAATGGTCACCATGTAAAAATCCCAATTGTCATTGTCTTATAACGAGTAATGCACATGTAAAGTAACGAAAGGATTTACTAAAGGATTTGCTCTTGGTGTTGGAAAGGATTTGCTAAATCTTCGTTCCAATGACAACTGATCTGTTTCACTGCGCTATCTCCAGTTTGCTCAATTCTTCTTACAACTTTGATTCAGTTTCGATTTATGTACAAATAGATACAAAAGTACGCTAGAAACACTTTCGTTTAAATGAAAAAGATTATATCCCCGGATAACTGGGTTCCAAAATTAAACACAATCTCGCACTTAAATACGCACTAAAAACGGAATAGCGGTTAGTTAAATTTTATGAACACTATTCTCTTATTAAACCACTGAATTTCATTTAGTATACAGAATTTAATATGACTTTTTTGCGTAGTAATCTATTCGACAATTTTTTGACCGTGGTTCAAATGCTTCATAATCGAAAAACGAATCGTTGAAGAATGACGAACCGTCCACGTCGGAAGTATTGGCCATCAGATCAACGATATCCCCGCTATCTTTATCACGGTCGCTGGTTCCTGCTGCCCGAATCAGAACGAGGTTTGGAGTTTTCCAATTGTTTTTGACGTGTCCCATCAGTTGACGGAGCGAACGATGTGTTTGTATTTTTTCAACAGCCAAACAAATTTCTCGGAGAATTCAACGTCAATTTCCGGATGGTCCCAATCAACGTCTTAATCATCAATTCTTCGGACACCACATCTAGGAAATCGTCACAAACCCATGTCACTGGCTGTTGATCATCTTTAAAAAATGGCATCCGTTTTTCCAAATCGTCACTATCATTTGAGCCAGAATTTGCAGGGGCAGCGTTGTCATCGCTATCATCAATGCCAATCGCAGTTTGATGCACGAAGTTTATGCGACTGTAGCGAAGAGTCTCCTTGCCATAATCGAGGATGAAGCGTTTGTCATCAAAGGCTGATAAGGATGTTTTCGTCAGAGTCACAGTTTGCAGATTGTGTGGCTCGGATGCGATTTGACTGTTTTGAGTTTTGAATAATGAGCCAGAGATCAAGGTGTCTCGATATCGCTGATGAGTCAATATCTTCTGAGCAGCTTTTGATATACCTTTGGCTGACAGCTTTCTGCAGTCTAAATATATAAACAAATGATTACTAACCCATTTACAGATGATTGCTAATGTGTGGTGAAAAAAAAATTAATTTTTTTGTAGCTATTACACTTGAAGACCAGGTGCAACAAAAGGTGACCTGAAGGTCAAGTGTGACCTTAAAAATGAAACATAGTTTAAAAAATTCCGAAAAAGCAAGAAAAAA